CCTGATTTTATTCTCGATTAAACGAACTCAGCAGATGAATGAAGAGGCATGGTGGTTTTATGTTAAAGCTGTTATTCATTTGCTTTCTCTTCGGGGCACACAATGAATGATGACAAGAAGAACAGTCATGAGGCTGTGCGAACCGACCAGAACCCGCTAGGGGCGAGTAGTGGCACATCAAGTCACACAGCACTGTTCTCATCCTAGTGTGCTTAGAAAAAATTCACCAGACAGAAGGTTTGTGCCATTTTGCCTTTCCAGATCAGTAACTCCCAGTGTCCTGACTTCCCTAAATCGCCCACATTACCTCTTATGGAGATCATGGAAGTCAAGGGTGAAAGCTGAGGGCGCTGATGAGTTGGCGCAAGACCAACTCACTTGTTGGTACTACTGTCTACCAGATCAACGAACAGAAGCCACTTCCACCTAAAAATACACCCCACCCTTACACACTAGTTTTAAGTCAATCATAATGGATAAACAAAGGGGAGAATGGCAGGGCCCACTTTAATATTTCATGGTAGTGGAAGGGATAAACGAATGATGGTACTTAGCTAGTCATTAAGGCAACGTCCACAGGCCCCTCAATATGTTGACTTGACTGTCCACGTCTGGAGGCAGAGCCAGGCAGATGCGGACGTGCGTTGTCCACTTCTCCATGGATTGAATGACTTAGATCAGATTCAGCGAGACAGATAAGGCAGAGATTGACAAAAAGGATGGAAGCTATCACGATAGCACTTATCAAAGAGCAGGTCGAATCCAAGTGCAGGAGCGTTGATCCATCCACACACTTGGGCCACGAAAGCAGTTGCGTGCAAAGCTTCAACTGCGGTGAGATCAACCTCCATTCAGCTGAATAAATACCAAACTAATACAAGCAAACTGGAGCAAATCTCAGTGGCAAGTCGTGAACAAAGTGCTGGGGCCAGGGGCTCTTCAATTTAGCGGTCAACAATGTTGAAGAACAAATGGGCTTATCATTTCTTCGAATTCTTCCTTTTAACACTTTGTCGAAAACCAGCAGTATTGATTCGATATCAGGGTCACCAGTAAAAGCTTAATTTCCATCAGACCACCACAAAAGTTTCAAATTATGGGCTGAAGTTTAAGTATTTACCTCAAGTCAGTGAAATGCCTATAAATAGTCCACTTGCAGCAAATTTCCTTTTTTCCATTCGCCTTTTCTGTCGAAAATTTGGCCATCTGGTTGATCCTGCGTCATGAAAGTCATCCGCTTTGCCTGAAGCTGTGCATGTGCGTTGAAGTTGAAAGTGGACAACTTGTAAAGTCCACTTTTCACTTTCGTCTGCATCCATCAGTGGGCATTCTTAATTGTTCTATTTTTGAAGGAAATGGATTAGTAGTGATCTCCTCCTCTAGTCACCAAAATACACCACCACTTCGTTCATCTGTTCTCACTGAGGCACATTTTCATCTACATTTTCCGCTGAGTTAATACTTATTCCAACAAATGGAGGTTGGTCTCAATAACGTTCAAGCGTTGCAGGCAACTGAATGCACCCTCCCATTGTGTGGATGGATCAGGGGTCTTGGACGTGGATACGACCCTGCTTCTCGTACTGGATGCACTTCGTACTGTTAGGTGATGCATGCAGATGTCTATAACAGAAGCAGCTTTAGTTGTCCTCACCAAGCATTACCATTGTAGCCCATCTCATTCCTGTCAGTCTCTGTCATATCTGTCTCTCTGAAAGTAGTCCAAGTCACTCGTTCCATGGAAAAGTGGGCAAGGCACCTCTGCATCCGTCTAGCCCTGGCTCCGGACACGCACTGCCAAGGCAGCATATTGAGAGGCATGTGGCAGTTGCATCAATAGCTGGTTAAGTAACATCATCCACCTCTCCATTCCTGCATCTTGGATAGATGAACGGACTGTGTTGTACGATTCCTCCTCTTTTTACTCTCTAAGTCTTCCCTAAGTCCGAAGCGTAATAATGAGGATTGGTTAAATGAAAAAGGAG